CCCCGCCCCGCTCACCGCAACTAGGGAAAGCCCGCGCACAGCAACAAAGACCCAACGCAGCCAAAAATAAATAAATAAAATAAATAAATTTAGTTTTCAAAAAAGCAATACATTTTTTAAAAATGGAATATGTCTGGAAGGAAAAAATAATGCTAAGGAAAAAGTGTATTTAAAAAAAACACAACAGTTACTCAGGCATAAAAAGAAACGAAATTGAGTTATTTGTAGTGAGGTTGGACCTAGAGTCTGTCATACAGAGTGAAGTAAGTCAGAAAGAGAAAAACAAATACCGTATGCTAACAAATATATATGGAATCTAAAAAAAAAAAAAAAAGGTTATGAAGAACCTAGGGGCAGGACGGGAATAAAGACGCAGACCTACTAGAGAATGGACTTGAGGACACGGGGCCGGGGGAAGGGTAAGCTGGGACAAAGTGAGAGAGTGGCACGGACATATATACACTACCAAATGTAAAATCGATAGCTAGTGGGAAGCAGCTGCATAGCACAGGGAGATCAGCTCGGTGCTTTGTGACCACCTAGAGGGGTGGGATAGGGAGGGTGGGAGATGCAAGAGGGAAGAGATATGGGGATATATGTATATGTATAGCTGATTCACTTTGTTATAAAGTAGAAACTAACACTATTGTAAAGCAATTATACTCCAATAAAGATGTTAAAAAAAGAAAACAGGGACTTCCCTGGCTGTCCAGTGGTTAAGACTCTGCACTCCCAATGCAGGGGGCCCGGGTTTGATTCCTGATCAGGGAACTAGATCCCACATGCAGGCTGCAACTAAGAGTCCACATGCTGCAGTAAGATCCCGCGTACCACAGTTAAAAGATCCCGCATGCCGCAACGAAGATCCTCCATGCCTCAGCTAACACTCAGCACAACCAAATAAATAAATATTTTTAGAAAAATAAAAACAAAAATATTACAGTAGAAAATAAACCATGTAACATATTGCTTAGTAACGTTATTTGAAATGAAAATTTAATAGCCCTTGGATAATTGCTCTTCTACTAAATTGCTTAGTTATATTATCCAATAAACAGTTCCACACATTAATTTTTTTTTTTTTTTTTTTGCGGTATGCGGGCCTCTCACCGTTGTGGCCTTTCCCGTTGCGGAGCACAGGCTCCGGACGCGCAGGCTCAGCGGCCATGGCTCACGGACCCAGCCGCTCCGCGGCACGTGGGATCTTCCCGGACCAGGGCACGAACCCGCGTCCCCTGCATCGGCAGGCGGACTCTCAACCACTGCGCCACCAGGGAAGCCCCACACACATTATTTTTATTAAACAGGGTAAATGTATTTAGGCAATTTTTAAAAATAGTATCTTACAAGCATTTTCAACAACCCAATTGAACAATATGTCTGCTGCAGGAGAAAAAAAAAAATGTAATAACATTATTAGCATGAAGAAGCGTATAGTGTGTCCTAACCAAGAAACCAGGAGGTTCAAGAGTAAATATTGCATTTAATTGAACAATCTGACTCCAGTTTTTGATGTTTCACTACTGACACCGAATAGGTCACAACCTCTTCCTATCCAGCCTATGTGGGCAAGCTGATAAAGAAGCCTGATGGCTCCATCCTGTGATACAAACTGAAAGTTCAAACCGCAAGTGTATCCTCCATCAAGCCTCACCTGGTAATCACATTAACACACCAAGCCAGTCACCATTCCCTGTTCTCTCAAACCATTTTAAAACAACTTGGAAGTCTCCCCTGTCCCCCTAGACAGCTGAAGTATGTAACAAATATTCGCATAACACTTTAATGTTAGCATCAGGCTCAATGACGAAACAAAACTTTGGATGGGGTTCCAACCCTATTCCAGTGAATGGTTACAAGTGCACATTACCAAAAATAAAGAATGTTTGGGTAGTGAATGTATGAAATTTCTACTTTATCTCTCAAAGGAAAAAGTTCCTCTTGTATATTGTTCGTTTATAAAACTCATGAACATTGATATTTTCAAATTATTTCCCTGAGCAATTCAAGCATAAGAGATCGTATGATTTTAAATTTTGCTAATATTTCGCATGTGCTTACTATATTCCTATTTTCCCATAATGTAAATCAAGGTGCATGCCATGTACTGCATATTCATGAATGGGGGACAGGTTTTAGGGAGTGTTGAAAAAAATAAAACAGTCCCAAAGTGGTCATTTGCCCCAAAGACAGCAAAACAAGACTTTATTGCAGTTACAACCCTCCCAGGAATGTGACCTTAAACCAACCACTCTGGAATTTCATGAATGATACCACTGAGGTAAACAAAAGGATAAGACCTTTGCCATACCTCCCCCAGAAAAATGTAAAGTCGACGAAAAAATTTTTCTTCTCTTCACAGTAAAAAAATTTTTTTAAATTATATGTCCTGGAATTATCTCCAAGATATATACTAATGAAAAATTTAAGTATAAAACAGTGTGCATAGTATGCTGTCATTTGCATCAATTTTTTTTGAACTTCATTTATTTTTTATACAGCAAGTTATTAGTTACCCATTTTATACATATTAGTATATATATGTCAATCCCAATCTCCCAATTCATCCCACCACCACCACCCCCTTTCCCCCTTGGTGTCCATATGTTTGTTCTCTGCATCTGTGTCTCTATTTCTGTCTTGCAAATCAGTTAATCTGTACCCTTTGTCTAGATTCCACATATATGCATTAATATATGATATTTTTCTCTTTCTGACTTACTTCACTCCGTATGACAGTCTCTAGGTCCATCCATGTCTCTACAAATAACCCAATTTTGTTCCTTTTTATGGCTAATACTCCATTGTATATATGTATATCTTCTTTGTCCATTCATCTGTTGATGGGCATTTAGGTTGCTTCCATGACCTGGCTATTGTAAATAGTGCCGCAATGAACATTGGGGTGCATATGTCTTGTTGAATTATGGTTTTCTCTGGGTATATGCCCAGTAGTGGAATTGCTGGGTCTTTGCAATAAAATTCTTATGCTGCCTAGCTTCTATCTATAAAAGCTTTCTGGCTTGTACAGCTTTGAGCACCACTTTATCATCTAGATGTGATGGTGAAAACTCAGCCTCTGCACAACGGTCCCAAATCAAATCTCAGAGACAGAGCTTCGAGTGAAGTAGAAAAGAATAACTTTATTGCTTTGCCAACCAAAGAGGGACACAGCAGGCTCGTGCCCTTCAAAACTGTATGTCCCACACCATTGTAAAGCAATTATACCCCAATAAAGATGTTAAAAAAAAAAAAAAAAAAAAAAAAAAAAAAAAAAAAAAAACTGTATGTCCCAAGCAGAGGCGGGGAAGGGGGATATGGTGAGGAGTTTTACAGCACTTGTTCAAGGGCAGGGCTGTTGATAAGTATCAGGGTGTGTGCAGGGCCTGCTTCCTTTAATCTGGCCTCAGGTGATCTCCTGATGTTTCCAGAATGAAGAATGCTTCATCAAATTTTGTTTTGCAGGGCTTCCCTGGTGGCACAGTGGTTGAGAGTCCGCCTGCCGTTGCAGGGGACACGGGTTCGTGCCCGGGTCCGGGAAGATCCCACATGCTGCAGAGCGGCTGGGTCCGTGAGCCATGGCCGCTGAGCCTGCGCGTCCGAAGCCTGTGCAAATTTTGTTCTGCAGAAAAGCTCAAAGATATTGTTATGTGTATCCCTTGAGGCAGGAGGATCCTATCCCAAGGATGCACTATTATTTGACTGCCATTCCTTTGTCTCTGTATCCTGATTAGCAACTGTTTCCATCTGCCCTTTGAAACTCAGGGAAGATCATGGAGGCTGAAGCCTATTCCCTACAAACAGGAAACAAGAGACACAGAGAGGCTTCCGTGTCCAGGAGGCCCTCAGGGTCCTGCTCCGTTTCAAATGGGATGCACCGCAATTCGTAAAGCACTCAAGAAACCCAATTTACTTGGTTCAATTTTTGTATTTCAATAGAAGGCAGAGCCTTAAATGAACTCCTATGGTATTTTCATTATAGCTGCATGAATATTCTGGAGCAGAGTTTACAGAGAATAAGTCAGGTACAAATTATGAATATATAATTCCTAAACTGTATGTTGTTTGATTCCATCACGGAAAGAAACTGTTACAGATTCTTTCAACCCTAAGAGCCTAATGGTGCTTCTGTTATAAAGCACTGAGGTGGAACCAAACTGTGCTGGCTGAAGAAACATGATTCACCCAGGGTTATGAAAACTGACTGAATTTTATTAATTCAAATAGGATACCCATTTTAATTAATTCAGAATTAAACTATAGCAAAATGTAATGGCAGCAGTTAAGTGTGAATCATACACATATAAATACTATTTTCATTCTTTTGATTAACTGTTCCATACACAATTACTGGTAGTAAAGGGTTTTACAATGGAAAATGTCACAAAAGGCTGTCCGTGGCAGAAAAGCGAAGAGAAGAGAGCAGCCTCAGTGCGATTTCACACCCAAATAAAAAGATACCTGACTTGCAATGACAATCTCGGGATTTGGCAGGCAGAGGGCCGGGTGCTGGGATACCAGGCCTACAGTCACTCCCAACACCCTGAGGACTGAATAAGGGGGACAGCACAGCACAGGGTCCCACCAGTAAAGAGAAACATATACTCTGCAGAGTGACCCCCCCCATGTACTATGTTTCTGCTTCTAGAGGGAAGTGTGCCTGAAGGGAACAGGCTGTACCTGGACAGTGCTACTTACCCAGAGTAGTAAGGGCTATTTCATATCATACTCTCATCCTACAGATCAACTATTCTGTTTCTATTCACATTCTAGCAGGAGGCCAAACTCAGCTCCAGAAACTCAGGGACAAGACCTGGGCTCTGAGACTGGAGGACTCAGGCATGTAAAATTTATCCCCCTATCACAGAAATAAGCTGGTAAGTCAGAAGCTACTCTTTATTGAAGTGATGAAGGGTCTTCTGTTTTCTGTGACCTGGGAAAGAGAACTACACCTGAATTGTCAATTGAATTGGGCATCTAGACAATCCACATACATGGATGAGCTGGGTATTATGTTAAAACTCTTCCTATGCAGACCAACCTGATGGTAGGTCTTCATGTAATCCTACAGTGAGGACCTATTCAGGATGTAATGAATCTAAATTAGTAAACAATAACTGAGCTGAATTATCCAAGACATGTTAATATCAGTCTCACTAACCAAACCAAACTCTGGGTGGGGTTCCATCCTACTCCACTGAATGGTCACAAGTACAAACTAGCAAAAACTTAAAAAAAAAATGTTTTAAAGGGGAATGTATGAAATTTACAGTTTATCTATCAAGGAAAAATGTTCCCATTGTATAGTGTTCATTTTAAAGAGAAAACTCATGAACATTGATCCTTTAAAATTATTGCACTGAGTGCAGAAAGGACAAAAGAGACACTGTATGATTTTAAAGTTTTGTAATATTTTGTATATGTGTACTATACCCCTATTTTACCATCATGTAAATCAAGATGCATGTCATGACATTTATTTAGACACAAAAAAGGACATGAAGAAATATTCATATACTGCATATTCCAGAACGGGGAGCACATTTTAAGGAGTGCTTAAAAAAAAACGGTTTGAAGGTGGAGAACCTCTGTAATGTTATGCTCCTTATGGAGTGCCTGAAGATTGACTGGTGAGATGTGAGCTCCCAAGAAAGGTCTGTCCAATTGGTAACATTACTTTCTCTCCAGTATGAATACTCTGGTGGGTCATAAGGTTAGAGTTAGGGTTGAGACACATTTAGAGAGTCATTATACTTGGAAGGTTTCTTTTAATTATAAACTATCTCACAGTAATTTAGGATGAATGCAAAAAGCATTCAGTGGGGGTCGAGTCCCGAGTAAAGGCTTCGCCACCCTCAATATGAAAGCCTTCTTCACAAAATGTATTCTCCAGTGACTTGTAAGGTGTGAGTTGTGACTGAAGACCTTGCCACACTAACAGTATTTGAAAGGTTTCTGTCCATTTCATGTTCTCCGATGGATTCATAGATGTCGTTTATGTCTAAAGACTTTGCAACACGCATTACATTTCTAAGGCTTCTCTCCAGTAAGAATGATGAACTGCAAGCTTTCCCTTCTGATTAAAGACCTTGCCACATTCGTTACATTTGCAAGGTTTCTCTACAGCATGAATTCTTTGATGAATTACAAGGCCTGAATTTCGACTACAGACCTTCCCACATAAATCACATTCATGTACTTTCTCTCCTGTATGAGTTAACTGATGTCTCTTGACGTGTGAGCTGCAATGAAAGGTTTTCCCACACTCATTACATTTGTAAGGTTTCTCTCTAGTATGAATTCTTATGAATGACAAGGCCTGAATTTCAACTAAGGTCCTTCCCACATAAATCACATTCATGTAATTTCTCTTCTCTATGAGTTATGTGATGTCTCTTGAGGTATGACCCACGATGAAAGGCTGTCCCAAACTCATTACACTTGTAAGGTCTTCCCCTCTGGGCTTTCTGTCTTGTGTCAATATTAAAGGATGCATAAAGTCACCCCCATGTATATTACAAATTGTGGTTGGGACGGGAGGAGAAATTTCTTGACATGGTGAAAATGAGGCACTACTGCTGATACTCTTATCAGCTTGATTAAACTCATCAATTTTCTGTTCACTTTTAAAAATATGCAGCTCATCATGAAAGCTTAACGCAAGCCTATTTCCAATAGGCTTCTTCCCTGCATCCCTTTCAACATATTGACTTCTTCCATTAATGACATCTTTGTTGTGGGATGCAGGCATATTTTTGTAATTTCTTTCATCATCTCTCCACTGACACCCAAAATCATACATATTCTCCTGCAGGTAAAAATGTTTGATTTCACAGCTTCCATGTCTTCCCAACACCACTGTTTGGAATACTTCTCCTATATCTGTGTTTGATTTTACTTGCAATTTCTTTATCACATGTATATGACAGATATCTACAAATTAAAACGCACCATAGACATACTGTTCATTACAATGCATGAATAAATGTTTCATGTTGAATATATGGTATTACACCAAAATTAAGACTTTTGCCAAACAGAGTTATGAAACTTCACAACCATGACGTAAAATTTTTGAGAAACACTAAAAAGGACAGCGTTTCTATCTGCATCAAGGGACCATATAAAGAGAGACCAGGACTGATAAGGGGACTGACTGGACACAGGGAATAATAAACATGGGGTATCACTGCTTTTCATTTCATATATGAGTGAATGAACTTTTTCTTAAAAGAAAAGAAGAACTGGCTTAGCAAGTAACATTATACTGTTCCATTTTTTAACTGTGAGAATTATACTATTGATATGGTACAGAAATAAAAGAGATTTTAAAGGGGATGTTGTACAAACAAAGCAGGTTTACACTTATTACATTATTTGCTGTGTAAGGTAACAAACTAAATACTCCATAAGTCCCATTTCCATGCGTATATTCACAAAGAACACACATAATATTCCGGGAGACGTGTAAGAATGTCGTTACCTGGGCTTCCCTGGTGGCGCAGTGGTTGAGAGTCCGCCTGCCAATGCAGAGGACGCGGGTTCGTGACCCGGTCTGGGAAGATCCCACATGCCGCGAAGTGGTTGGGCCCATGAGCCATGGCCGCTGAGCGCTGTGCGTACGGAGCCTGTGCTCTGCAACGGGAGAGGCCACAACAGTTGAGAGGCCCGCGTACTGCAAAAAAAAATAAAAATAAAAAAGAATGTTGTTACCTGAAACCTGAAGGTAAGCTGGAAGAGGCCACCGAATGGAGATGGATAAACTTATGCCATACACAAACACACAGATACAAAAAATCAAATAGGATAAAACTTCTTCAAACGATTTTAAAAAGAACAAAGTTATTATACAGTGCAGAAATTACACTATTGGGAACATATCAAACGAAAAAAATCTAGCAGGTATACGGAATGTAGTATCATTTACTCAGGAAGAAGAAAAAAATCCTGCTATTTTTAACAACACAGAGGGACAATGAGGTTATCTGCTCTGTAAGGTAATTCACAGAGAATGAACAGATGGTACTGAATGTTGTAACTCATGTGTAAAAAAAAAAAAAAAAAAAAAAAAAAAAAGAACCAAAGAGCAACAAAGACAAAAATACTGGTTATCAAATCCTGGGACTTGGTAGAATGGGGAGATATTAGTCAAAGGAATACATTTCCTGCTGTAAGTTGAAAGTTCTAGAAATTTAATGTACACGATGGTACTTACAGTTATCAACACTATACTATATGCTTGAAAGTCAATAAGAGAGTAGACCTTACATGTTCCCAAGACACATAAAAAAAACTGTAATTATGTCACAGGTGAATGTAGTGAAGACACCACCGAGGTACTTATTTTGCAAAAGTTCACACTATACACCTTAAACTTATACAATGATATATACTAATTAATCGATAAGTA